TTGTTTTGCTTCTGCAGAATACTTTCCTTGCCTACGGTAGAATCGTAGATAAAAATAAGAAATCTTCTTTCGTTGCGCAACGCCGTTAGCGTATCAGCCGTCTGCTTAGCTTTGGGCCAAAGGCATTCCAACTTAGTTACCGTGCTGATTAGCCATGCCTTTGATTGTTGGTTCTTACACTTAATGATAATGTGCGCATCCTCAAGGCGAGCATTGCCAACAAACCCTATGTCAACAAAGATGCTTCAAAAGCAACTAAGTGTTTCTCGCCAAGAGGTTCTTCGACTCTTGAATCGATGATACCCACTTGGTTGGGACCCCATTTGGCTAACAACCGTTATTAGTTGTCCATCTTGTTTGACCCCACTCTTCTGACCTATGGGTTTTGAATAATTGACACCCTGTATGGGTTGTCCGCCTTTCTTAGCCCCAGATCCAGGTTGCGTTTTCTTTTGGTTATTAGTCGCTAAAGGTTGTCCACCACGCCGACCAATGGTCCTTTTACCAACCAATGCGGGTCAGTTGAATGCTTGATTAGGTACTCCACTTCGCGCATTAGTTGGATCTTTGACTGTCGATTCAGCTTCGCTGACATCCTTTACTAGTTGTCGACCATCAGAGTTGTCGCCTGTGAGTCTAGCTGAAGGAGTTGAGCTAGCTGTCGGAACTTCAGGACATCCGTCCTTATGCCTCTTTGCCAACTGTTCTTGCTCGAGCGATGACTCCACATGCGATAGTCCGCTGAGTCGATCCGATAGTTGTTCAACCGATCCGATCTTGTGGCTTTTGCAGCCATTTGCCTCTCTCTTCTTCGCTCTGGTTCCCCCTCTTGTTCAGACGGATACTTGAAGTTGATGACGAAATTACTGATTTCAAACAAATGGGTAAATTTGGTATTGATACATGAAACGACAATGGATCAAAGCTGCTTAGTAATTGGAGGCACAGTATTTCCTCACAAACCGGTGCCAAAATTACATGTGGGTACCAAATGTGGCAGTAATGAACAAAATAGACCATATTATGACAAATCGAAACTGACGATATTCCCTTTCAGACGTTAGAGCTAAAAGGGGTGTAAAGAGGTGCGATCATAATTTGATTCGTGGTAAGATAAGAAAAACACTAATATTCGTCGAGAAACGTGAAAATACAAGACCAGAAAGAATGGACATTGAGAAATTAAAGACCACATGGAACTTTTCTGTTCTGTGGTTGGAAATGGCTATGAAACTACCACCGACACCATCGCTACCTCAACAAATGAGAAGAGATAGTGAAAGCGGCTACAAAATTCTACAAAAAAAAGTGGAAAAAGAGCGCTAGGCCGCAAAAGTTATCAAGAAATCATGAATGCAACAGGAAACTTGGGACGTGGTGCAACAGAGAGCGGAAGCAAAGCGGAGACTGCTTGTCGAAAACACCAGTGTGGATCCAAAAAGACAATCGCGACATCAATACACACAAATTCATAAGGACATTATAAAGTGGTGCAGACGTGATAAAAGTAAATGGGTAGAAGACAAAGCCACAATAGCTGCAATCAGTGGTGACGATATTCAATAACTAGGGAATTGGCAGGCACCAATCATAACGGGGAGAAACCTATCAAGATCAAGATGATAATATCATAACTGATATCAAGAAGCAACTTAAACGGTGGGCTGAGCACTTTAAAGAAATATTAAATAATCCAATAGAAACAACGTTAATGCAAATCCTCTAACGAAAGATGAGGTTGAAGAAACAATAAATAAACTTAAAAACAATGAAGAAGAAATTGAATGCGTAAACTCTTTCACCTACCTAGGAAGCATGGTGACAAATAAGAGCGAAGCTATTTAAGATGTTGATGTTCGTATTTGGTAAACTTAACAACATATGCCTTAGTGAACTTAGTGAACATAATAGGAAGACCAAACTGCAAATCTTTAACGCAAATGTGAAATCTATCTTGCACTACGGCTGTGAAACATGGAAGCACTTCAGTCTTATAGAGAAAAAGATGTAAGTGTTAATGGATAAGTGTCTACACAGAATTCTCAAAATATAGTGGCCCCGTCGAATATCAAAAAGCAGTACAAACTGAAATAGAAACGAGAAAGTGAAAAGGGATAGACCATAAACTTAGAAAACCGAGAAATTACATAGCGAGGCAAGCTTTGGCATGGATTTCACAAGTTAGTAGAAGGCTTGGTGCTCTAGCGAAAACATGGAGAAGAACGGCTGAATTCTTATGGTTAAAGAGACAATGAATTCCCACCAAAGCGCAACATATCGCAATTGAAGATATACAGAGAATACTAAAATTCGCAATTTTAGAATCAGATTTTCTGAACTTCCCTTATTTTTTAATTAAGAATAATCTGTTTAAGAATTCTGAGCATTGCACCAACAAAACCAAAATTTTCCTTTGAGTAAATGTGTGCAACATACTCGTACTTTCCTTAAATAAGACTCATGTTGTTTAATTGCATTACCTATACCAGAGAATTTATCAAAATAAGGCTTTATAAAGGCTTCGATGAAAAAGATCTGTTTTTTTAGTTGATTTTCTTCTTCGTGTTAGAGTTCGGTATTTTTGACAATCAATGTAGATACATAAGGTATCGTGTTTTAAAACTGTGATGTTTAATATGTCAAATAATGTATTGGTAGGTATCAAGTGTCTGATTTAATGTCATACTCTATCTAAAATTTCTTTAACGTCGAAAAGAGTACAGACTGGAGTGAAGTGATTAAATGATATTCATTAAAGAAGACTCCAAATTTGTTAAAAAATTTTTTTACATACTTTAGAGAAGTCAAAAAAAACGGCTAATAGGTCTGTAAGAAGAAGCTAATGTAGGGTCTTTACCTGCTTCTTGGATCATTATGATCAAAAGTTGTTTTCATTTGATGGGGTGATAACCAATGTTGGTAATAAAAAGTCTATTGTTATAGATTTTTGCTAAGAGTGGTTGGTATTTTAGCAAGCTGGGTATAATTGTATCGTTCCCAGATATTTCTTATATGACTAAGTTTGTTTTTAATTGTATTAGGAAAATAATTGCTTAAAATTTGTCTTAAAACTTTAAGTACAAATTGAATATTGAGGAAATGCATGACCTGTAATATATTTTTTTTAAAGAATAAACCAATTTAAATCTAATAGGACATATATATTATAATGCTAGTATTTAGTATGCCAAATTTGTTGAAAAGAAACAATTCACAATTGCAGTATACTTAGATGTAGCGAAAGCTTTCGATAGTGTTTGGCAAGACTCATTAAAAAATTAACAAAAATTCTGTCTGAGAATTATGTGCAAATATTTAAGAGCTACATCGGTGAACGTTACTTCTACGTAAAGCACAAAGACAGTATCTCCGGTTTCAAAAACAGACAAGTGGGTGTACCTTAAGGAAGTGTAATAGGCCCTGTCCGCTATCTACTTTATACAGCCGACATCCCAACCTCAACGATTACAAATGAAATGGTTGCTACATTCGCGAACGAAACTGTACTACTCGCGTCAGACTCCAACATTGACATCGCTAGAGGACTTTGTAACGACCTTTTCCGGCCCTATCTACAGCTGGGGTATACTCAGCGAGTATACCAGGGTTCGTTATAAGAAATTAATTAAAATAAAAAAGTAAATAACCACTTCTGGTTGTAGCAACGTTTATTGTGCAGAAAAAAAAACAATGAAGTAGAAAGTTGTAAAATATTGTAACTTGTGGTAAATGTAAAAACAATGTTGTAACAATGTTGTAAATGTTGTAAAAAAAATGCTGTACCAATGTTGTGACTGGTGTCGAATGTTGTGAAAACGTTGTATGATGTTGTAAATGTTGAAAAAAAAAATGTTGTATCAATGTTGTAAATATGTTGTATGGAAAGTGGTGCGCAGGTTGCTGTAACAGGAGAAATTTCAAATAGAACGATTTGGCAATTTTGCTGCCCTTTTATTGAAATTCCTTCTATTGCAGGCAAGAACAAAAATATTTTTCGGGTAAACAAAATCCCGTAAATTTTGTCAAAACAAATTTCTTATTGTTGTACGCATTGCAATCAAATTCAATAAAAATAACTGCATCAATTTACTCGAACTCGCACACGGCCTATATAATAATTTAAAAAAATGTATATGATATGCTTAAAGTTCGTTCATTATTAAAGAGTTGAATTATAAAAAAATTATACTGAATATAAAAATTATTTGTTAATATTATTACTATTATTACTTTCATTTAAAAATATATTATAAAACACCTGGTAACTGGAGTTTAAAAGTCTTTATAACTAATAAATATTTAATTTATAAAACAACCTTAAAAACTGACATAACAAATTTATATTAAATATAATAATTTACTTTAACAAATTACTTGAAACTATTCGTATATTAATCGAATTGTTACTCAAAACTAAATCGTAATGAAGCGGGCTGATGACTGTAATATTTATGAAGTATTTTTAAAATAATTATTTAATATTCTAATGCATATAAATCTAATTTCAGAATATTCAAAATATTACAGAATCAGATTTTAAAAATACCAACATGACAACAGTAATTTATCTAACGTAGCTTGATTAATTTATTGCTAAATGCAAATACTCCACTGCCTTGTCGACACAAATTAACATTTTACTAACTTTAGCATATTAGACAAATTGGGACACACTCTTAATGTGCATTGTGGCAAACTTTACATACTCAACAAATATATATTGCAAAAGTTAAAACGAACTTTGTGAACGTAAAATTTGATTCGACCGTATTCGACGGTCTTTAATTAATTGCTTTCAGCTATGTTAGAAATACAATTGTATGTGCCAGACATGCCAATGAAAATAATGAGGATTATTCCAAATAATTGAGTATGTTCCTATATTAATATTCTTTGGTTGTTAATATCAACGTAAATATCGATAAATGCATATAGGCATCTCTAGTTTAACGAAAATGGCGTCTATGTATTGTAATTGGCATAAGATTATTGGAAAGAAGAAAGAGAAGGGAATGGTTTTTTTTGTATCTGAAGCATGTATAGTGGCTTGTTTATCCATAACACTGCTGTCGTTGAAAAATTATTATTGTCTATTAAACTTGTAAACAGTTTGAATTAACATCAAATTAGAATTCTTAAATAATTTATAAATTGCATGTTAATTAAAATGCATCTTATGGAAATCAAAAAAAGGATCAAATAACATTCGTAACATCAGTATTATGAAAGCCAGACTTAGAGGTATTAAAATCGTGTTAATTAAAAAAATATACCATTAATTTTGTGTAATAGTTTAATTTACAACATAAGTGTAAAGTGTAGTTTTTTGGCGTTTTAGTTACAATTGTGGAATATAAACAACCAATTTCGGGAATAAATTGATTTATACGTACATAAATAAATAAATTTTAGTGCTAAAAATTAACACCATTGAAAGTGCGAGAAGCAATATTTTTAACCCTTTGAAAAAGAAATAATGCGGTATGAGATTCCACAAATATTTTAAATTCTTAATATTAATACTGGCATTGGCAAATGTCTTTTAATTTCCCATATAGGGAAGGAGTCGGTGCAAATCTGAAATTAAAGATCCATTGCTGAAAACTGGTTTGAAAACCAAGTTTCTCATATTTGATGAGTATTATAATTCATCATATACATTGTCTTTATTAGGGTAATTTATATTTTAATCTGCTGGTAGTACCTCATTGGTAAAGGTCTGCCAATGATCGTATATATCTACTAAAGGATTTAAATAAAACACACATTGAATTCAAGTAGCTTTCTGTCTTTAACTAACATTTCGAAAATGCGGATTAAAATTACAGTCGCAAAGGAAATTAAATATGCGCGACGACTACAGCCAGCATAAAAATGATGCGGAAGGAAGTTTTGTTGTCTTCACAGGTCATTGAGAAGTAATTAGTATTTTGTAATACCAAATTCTGAATCTTAGCCAACATTAGATAATCATAAATACTGAAAACATGAAGGAATGCATAGTCACGATCTGAGCACAAACCGTACTGCTACAGATTTAGAAAGGTGTGATTACGAAGATGAAACATGATTCATAATACTCAAAGGGTAACAAATGCTTTTAAATATCGTATAAGGACTTTTAGGGAAAGCTTGAGCAATAAATTTAAAATCTTTTTCTCAACGCGGTATTTTAGATAATACCAAAGATGTGACCTCAAATGAAAAATTCTTAATATATTTCAATTACATGCATATATATAGAACGTTTCATAAATAATATATTTTTTATTGTAAGTGGCAATAGTTTTAAGCAACAAATGTACTTATTTATTTTAAAATATTATGTCTATTTAATTGCAATCATACCTATATGTATTAGTATAACCAATTAGAAAAACAGTTTATTTGTTGGAATTTCGTTCGATTTTTACAAGTACGTTCCACATTTACTTCTTCCAAGAATTAATGTTATCAATTACTAAAGGTTCCTCATATTCCAACATTTAAACAGACATTTTAAGCCGATTTCCTATATGACAACTTATAATATATTGAACATTTTAAATGCATATTGAGAGTAAGTAAGTGTAAAGGATTTAAATAAGTTACTAGTCTAACAATCTGCTAGATCTATTTAATGGTACGCGAAATAATTTTTGTGAAGTAACGCAAAAATTTTTCTACTCCCTCTTATTGAAGTTATCTTAATTTTTTAAGATAACTGCCGCATAACACATTAATGATCTCGCCCTGACTTTATATGATTGAAACTTTGTTCTAAATATTTATTAAATAGTTTTTCACGTAAAATTAAAGGCTTTTTGAATTTAATTCAATTTTTCATTTAAATGTCACCCATATTCCAAGATATTTATAGTCCTTAACTATTTCCACAGTTTCTTCACTTTGAGTCTACGACTCTTCATTCATTTAGCGATTGTGTACTTTTTAAATATTAATACTTCGTTTTCTCTATATTAACTGTAAGCCCCACAAGTAAAAGTGTCTGGAACTTATCTATCATATTCTTTACTGATTTGTGCGTGTAAATATAACGATATCATTTGTAAAAGAGCTTTTATATTTGTATCATTAGGACAGCTATTCTTTAAGTACAGAATAGTCAGGATTTTAATAAATTTGGATGACATACCAAGATAACACTACATGTAAAAAAGACATTTCTGTTTATGGATTCGAAAACTGCTTTGAAATCAACAAAAAATGTCAATAAGTTTTGCCCTTTTCTACATAATATGTTGCTGTATTTATGAGATAGAAAATCCTATCAAATATGGGGTACCCCTTTCTGAATGAAGTCTATCTGATATTCATTGATCAAATTCCTTGATAACTACTCACGTCTTGCGGATTTTCGTTTTTTAATTGTGGGTAGATGGTGCTTTATAGGAATTGTGTCCTCTCCAGGGACTCTGTTTCATCTGCTATCCAGTGTATTTATCTTGGTGTTTGTTATTGCAAACTAAATGCATTCCCAACTTAAGCATTCAGAAGAATTGAGATATGACAATCCAAGTAAACGGAATATAGTTTTTGTATCATATTCCAGTACGTATTGCAATTTTACTTGAAGGAACATTTCAAATAATAAGTAATATCAAAAAAGCTATTGCAGTCATAGAATTGATTGTCCATACTTTTATTAATTACGCCAACTAGATTACATAATAATATATTGAGAATGGTGTTGCATTGTACTAAAAAAACGGGGAATTGATTTTTTGCAACATTTCTAAGAAAACGCTATCATTAACTTGGGTGTGTGTAGATTGACTTTACTACATTACTGCTTTTGCTTAAACTTCTCGGTTCACCACAAACTTCTTTTTGGTTTTTGAAATGTTACATTTTCAATTTTTATAAGTAAAAATGAAATGTTATTAGGTTTCTGCTTTTGGTATTTCCTTTTTTTGTTGCTCTTTTAACTTCTTACGTCTTTGGAAGAGGATGTGGAAGAAAGTTAAAATATTGATTGGATCTTTGAAATAGCGCAAAAAAATTAGATTTACAAATTTTGAATTAACATCAGTGAGCCCCAAAATACGATTTATCAAGTTATTCAAAATATACCTCAGTTTCCCATTCGACTTCATTACTTTATACAAATTTTTTCCCCGGAGCCATCTTAAAATTTTAGAATCCATTCACTCTAGCTCGATGTGGCCACTTTTTGTCTTGATTATGGCCTTCAAACGGTGAAAAAACAAGTTCATGTTTCAAATCTGCTGGCATACATATTTTTTAGTCCTTATCTTGCTTTACAAAATGGCCCAGATGGAATAGTCCAACGGATTTGCATCGGCGAATTCGAAAGCCATTGTGTGGACAAAATGAAGGGTGGAATATGATTTTTTAACCATTCTTGGTTCACATAAGCTTTATAAGACAGTGCCGAGTCCTGTTGGAATATTTGCATACCCACGACTATAAAGCAACTTGGTGGCCATATCTGTATCGATTTGCGCGTGTCTGTTGAACTCAGGTGGCCATTAGTAGCCTCAAATTTTCGGTAGTGCGTTCAGTTAAGTAAACGCGAACATTTTGACAGTTTATGGACTTCACAATGTAGAAATTTTTCTCATCAAAGAACACAATGTTTGAGAATTCAACACGTTTGTGCAAGCGTAACAACTCCTTTGCTCCTTCGTGTCCAACTTTTTGTTGCTTTGGTGTAAGATCTTGTGTCTTTTGGAACTTTTGGCTTTACCTTGAGCTCATCTTGGAATCGGATGTTTGGATGTTTCGTATGGATATTTATAATTCTTTGGCCATTTGATTACTTCTGCGACGTGGATTTTGTTTAAGTCATCATGTGATGTTGCTGTTATTTTTTCGTCCGCCACCATAGCGTTTGGCGATGCTACCTATACTATTATAACGCTTTATGGTACAAACTTCAAATATTTTATTCACTTTGAAATGTTTAAGTTCACGAACAATAGATAGTTGTGATTTTTCAGCCAAATATAACGCAATCACACTATTACGTTTGAATTCCTTTTCGAATTACTTTTGTTCTATAAAACTTAGCCGGAAATACTTGTGGTATCTTGTAAATATCTTGTATTTCACATAGTTGGCAATATTAGTTTGACAGACACACCTGTGTGCAGTTGGTAAAACTTCAATCGTCTAATCCTGTACATCTAATATATGGTATATTACATGCCCATTAATTACATTCTAAAAAATATAAATTTGAAATGAGCAACAAAAATATAAATTAATTTTAGTTACATTAATAACATGTTTATAGCGAAAACAGAAATATATATATGCCTATCATAAGAAGTAATAATAAATAATTTTTTTAGCTTGTTATTACTTCCTTCGGTCAAGAACCGTCAACAGAAAAAATGATTAATTAATTAAAAATTATTAATTTATACTAAATGCTGTTTTAAACTTAAAAAATAAAAATATACAAAAATATATATGCATATGATAAGTAAAATTATAAAAAAGTAATAATAAAAATTTTTTTTTTGGTTTGTTATTACTTTTTTCCGGCAAATAAATGTTAAATATACAGATAGGTCACACCAGCGGAGATGTTAGCGATTTATTAGGTGGTTTGAGAGCAGCTTAGGTATTTTTAAAACTTATAGTGTAAAAATATTGAATTGTTATAAATATATATATATATATATATATGCTTTCTGATAATACCTGGCTCAACGCTTAGAAATCTGATTTTTATTCAAAAAAAGAAATGTTTGATCACCTAAAATTTATTATAGAGACTGTCTTAAAAATGAGTCATGCTTCTGATATTTGATAAGTAATTCACTAACGTTAACAATAAAATAAAATAATACTGAATCTGAGGTATTGTTACCTAGATTAAGAAGGTGTTATTTTATTTGTTTACACTATTATATAATTTACTATATGGTACATGATATATTCCTTTGAACTCGGTTTTTGTACTACCGTGGTCTGTACCTATTTATACATATAACAAAATATACAGTTTTTCACTTATTTTTATGGCTGTTCAGTATTGATATTTGGGAACGTACTTATTAAAAGTTGTATGTCTGTCTAGACATACTTTAAAGATTCATCTGTATTATTTCCACTTTTAATCTGAAAATCGCAATCACGATTTGGTGGTTGCTATCAAGATGACAGTCTCACTTTAAATTTCTTTGTAAATAATTTATTTGAATTATTTTTTAGTTTATTTGACAACGTCTTGTCTAGCTCTTGCTAGTAAAAAATACTGTGAAACACTA